TATAAATCAATTTTAATCATTTGACTAACGAGGGTTTCGTTTTTATTTTAACGCAAACACAAAAGGGCCGGGATTTAAAATAGAAAAAACTCGTTTCAAGATGGAGTGTATGGAAGGAACGACGTGCCCAATCCTGCCAGGGAAAAACTACACTTATGCTCTTCAGGTTAAGGATCAGATTGGAACTTTCTATTACTTCCCGTCGCTCGGATTTCACAAAGCCGCAGGTGGATTCGGAGGTATCCGTATCTCCAGCCGTCCATTGATCCCCGTCCCTTTCCCTCCTCCCACCGATGATTACACAGTCCTTATCGAAGACTGGTACAAAACCAATCACAACGTAACCGATACTCCTATTAAGCTTCCAATCGGTGACGTATTTCGATTGTTGATTGGTTAAGATCGAGATTTCACTGTCTTATAGATTCACCAATGGAAATTTATGTTTAGATTGAGACAATAAATTTGCAGGATGATTATACACAAAAGATTAGATTATTTGATTCGTTGTTGAAGTAAGGAAAATGATTAGACTGTTTGATTCTTTACAGTTAGGGATTTGAACAAAATGTTTGTATTGGTAATGCTGCTTGATGTATCCAAATGTAAGATTACAAAGCTCCCTGAATTTCCGTATCCAGAACCATTTGATGAAGTTGGTTGAGGTCAGAACGTGTACTCTTCGCTTGTTGGTCAATCTTACTCGGTCCTCATAATGACTAACCAACCTGCAAAAGATTATTACATTGTGGTCTCTAGTAGGTTTACTCTGAAGGTCCTCACCACCACCGGTGTTCTCCATTATAGTAATTCTGTTGGACCTGTTTCTGGACCTATTCCTTCTGCACCAGCTCCGTTGATCAGTTGGTCTTTAAGACAGGCTCGAGCTATCAGGTATTGTTTTATTCTATGCAGTTATTTGCTTGTCACCAATTTTGGGGACACTCCTTGAGTATCCTATGCTCCAAAGCAGCTAAAACTATTATATTATTTTGCTACTATAGAGGATGTTCATGAATTTTTTCTGCCTCAAAATTACCTAAAGACAAAAGGCTTTGAATTTACTTAGAAATTTACTTGTAGATTTTTGTTGGATTATGTTGGTTTTGGTCACCTACTAGTGTTAACGTCTGATTCTCAGCTACTTTCTGAGCGGTTTTCTTCGTGTGTCGTAGGACTAACCTTACAGCGAGCGGACCAAGACCAAACCCACAAGGTTCATACCACTATGGTATGGTAAAAGTGACAAGAGAAGGGAAGAGAAAACAGTTTGAGAAACAGATCAAAATCAAACCATATGCTGTGAACAACGCATCATTTTACCCAGTGGACACTCCTTTGAAACTCGCGGACTACTTCAAGATCGATGGTGTATACAAGCCTGGAAGCATATCCGACCAGCCCACAAATAGACCAATATTTCCTGTCACATCTGTCTTGCAAGTTGATTACAGAGCCTTTGTTGAGATTGTTTTCGAGAACTGGGAAGATATTCTCGAGAGCTGGCACTTTAATGGTTACTCTTCCTTTGTTGTTGGGTAAGTATAACTTTCTCAAACTGTT